AACCCAATGCTGTTTTTTTTTTTTGCAACATTTGAAAAGTTTGCTTTAAATTTGCCTGACAATTACACAGAAACATGGCAAATATTTCTGGATAAACCTGGTGATTTTTTTTCCAAAGGCAGTGCTTTAACATTTAAAAATAAAATTCAGTTCACCTCCATTTCCCGCACAAATTTCAGAACCTCATTAGATAGAACTAAAAACGCTTGCTTGGCTTGATTAATTGGAGAAATGTGTTGTTTTGTAGTTTGAGTGAGCTGACCCTTTAACCTTAACACTATCACTGCTTTTGGAAGAAATAGCAAACACCAAATAAAAGTGACATTTATGGTCTTCGAGTGCTGATCCAGCTACAAGAGGAACGATGATGGAAGACGAGGATCAGCGGGAAAATGTTTAGCTGCTGGTCCAAAGACTATAGAGTGAGGAGAGAGTATAGAGAGCTGGAGGAGATAGAGACAGAGGATAGAGGGAGGTGGCGGTGGCGGGTGGTGGTGGTGGTGGTGGTGGTGGGAGGGGGCAACAAGATGGAGAGAGACTGCCTGCACATACTGTCAAGGCAGTTAATATAAGGTGTGGAGATAAGGCCCCACAGACAAACATTGACCAAATCAGGCATTTCAGCAGCGCAGCCCGAACTGTCAGTCAGCCTGAGAGACAGACCAACAATCAGCACTCTACCTCTGATAAGGGCTCTACTGGGCGCGTGCAGGAAATAGCCAATCTGCAGCCGGCCTGGCAAGGAGGGTGATGGCAGAGAGGTGAGGGATGATGGAGAGTGAAGGGGTTAGAGAGGGGACTGAATGTAGAGAGACAACAAGTGAGGGAAAGTGGCCTATAAATTTAGAGAGAAATGTGGACCAAGAGTTCAGAGGAAAAGGATAATACCCGAGAGGAAAGATGGAGGGAAGAGAAGAGGGGGAGGAAGAAACAGGATGATATTCCTCCACACCCCACCCAAATGCTCTCACAGAGAAAGAGATTCAGGAGGGAATATAAGTGACGGGGGTTACAAAAAAAAAGAAAAAAGAGAGAAAGGGAGGTGTGATATCGGCTCTTAAAATAGTGTCTCTCCCCAGTTTTTTGTCACCTGGGAACAGCTTGCACAGAGAGAGTGTGAGAACTTGGTTTAGACCAACACCTTACATTAATGATTTGCCAACAGCTTTGACTGGCTCATTCTTCAACGTGCCGTTCGCCTTGCTTTCGCACACAATGGCATCATTTCATCCTCTCTATTGATTAATGGTGCATATAGTGTGTACATGCGCGTGCACAAATCCACAGTGAAGGATAACAGTCCCTATTTAATAGAAGACTCTGTACTGGCTATGAAATTCCCTCATAACAAAATAAACACATCCAAAATGCTGGAGCGGATGCCTATGGAAATCTGAGGTCGGCAGCTTGGATCCACACTGGCCCCTGTGGGTCGCATCCAGAAACGCAGTCTGGCAGCAAGTTTGAAGAAATAAATTCCCAGCCGTTTACCTTTGTCAAACACATTTAGGTTCCTCCAAGCAAAACAGGGGAGAGCACCAACAGCTGGCGAGTATTTATTTTCGGAAGTGGAGTCAGAGGGGTGTCTGAGCTTCCTTGATCATGAACCAAACTGCCATTACCATGACCACAGATAACAGTAGGAATCGTAAACAAGCTAATCACCGAGGGCCTATTTGTATTCTCATTTGTGTTTGCATGCACTGATGTGCAGGGGGGGGAGGGAGGGTGCAGGGACCAGGGAGCAGGCGGAGATGGGTGGGTGGGGGGGGAGACAACCAGGGATGGAGGGTGGAGTGTGTGCGAAAGGGTTAAGTTCCCTCCCTGGTTGCATGCTGCTTTCCCTTGCTCTGTCAAGCCCCATTAAACCTGCTACACCACAGCAATATGGTGCCATCAATTACAGGCACGCTGCCATCAATGCAGAGCGCAGAGGAGAGGAGAGGCAGGAACACATAAACAGGACAAACGGCCACATAAAAGACCCGCAGCTACATAAAGCCCTGCAGCCTGCCTCAGAGACACACAGCATCTCCCCTCTGTGTCTCTGTGCACCTTCACCTTCCATGGTATCATTCTGTTTGTGAATGAGTGGATGTTTGTTTCAAATACACACAGGGAAGAAAAAAAAAAAAAACACAAAATGCACGTGTGCATTCAGACTCACTTTCATTCATGAAGACGATTTATGAAAAGGCAAAAAACAATTTGAGCACGCCGGGCGACGGCATTAATTGCAGTGTGCTTCTACTGCCCCCATGTGATAGAAGTGAAACACTCGGGACAGCAGCGACACAACAAGCTCACCAGCTCACACCTGCTACCAACATGCTGATGTGATCACAAGTGAACCGCCCTGAGGTCATACATCACATTTACCAATAATCTACACTGGGAGGAGAAAAAAAAATAGTGGAGAAAAACTGTTCAAATCTGGCAGCAAGGTTGACAGAAGAAATACATGAAAACACGGTGGAACACTGTCAAGTTCAAAGATTGTAAAAATGATGGAAATACAAGCAAATATCTGTAAAATAATTTGATCTTTTTAGTTGATTTAAATATAGTAAAACTGTAATTTGTATGGCCACACATTGTAAAAGAACAAATTACGATTCATAAGAATCCATATTTTTTGACGCAGACATTTTGGCTGTTTTTTTGTTTTCAGTCAATATTAAATTAATGTTTTTTTTCTATGATTCTACTCGACATTATCTGTAATTTAACAAAATGGGTACAATCTGTAAAATAACAACTGCTTTTACAAACTATTTTAAAATGATTTAACATTTTCCAGTCCTGAAAACACATATTTTTCTTATAAATAACAGCAAATCTCTTTAAAACAATATTTTTTTGCTGATTAAAATACAGGGGGAAAAAAAGATATTGTAAAAGAATGAATTACTATTTTAAAAAATAAAAACTGTTGATGCAGACATTATTGAGACTTCTGGCCTGTTATTTTACAGTTAATGTGGAAAGTAATACTTTTTTAATATATATATTTAACTTAAATAACTGTATATATCAGTAAAAAAAATATTTCATGGATATCTAAATACAGTACAATACAGTGTAATTTTAGTCAGATATTACAATTTTCTCTTTTACAACAGCATTTAAATGAACACCTTTTTCTGTGATTTTACCAGCTACTGTCTGACATTTAACCTAACAGGGTAAATCCACAGTAAATTGTTGTAAAAATCATCGTCCAAAACATCAGATTTTTTTAAAACTTTCAGTATTTTTACAGTGTACACCTTCCGCCACACCACCTTGCTGCATGAAAGGACTGGATGCTCTGGAACAAACTCCCGATTCAGTCAGAAAAGCTCAGTTACAAAAGCTTTTAGAAACCCACAGGAACAGACGAGACATTTGACCCCTTTTCTAATGTTTTTTTTTATTACTCTCGTCAGTATTTCCCATCCTGTACTAATGCTTTAATGTGCTCTTTTATTGTAAGTCCGGTTTGGAAGGAAATAAAGCTTAACATAAATATTATTATTACACTGCGTCACCAAATCAACCACATCTCCTGAAACATTTCATTTCCTAAACTTTTTAATAAACTGTTGCTCTGTTTTGAGACAAGTCTACTTTTTTTTCCTGAAATGTAAACTGTAACATTTCCTGTAAAAATACAGAGAATTTTAATGTATTTTTACATGATTAATATTGCAATTTAATGAAACAGCTAACTATGGTATAAGTCATGACAGCCCTCTACAGCAGAGGTTTACTGTTTCATACTGTAACTACTTTCCAATAATATACTGTATTTTTTCATGTTGCCACTGTTATCCATATCACCTGTAACTGTAGTTGCCTGTAGATTACAATATTTTCTTCTTTTAAAATGCACAACACTACAGTATACCATAAATAATAACGTTTCTTTAATCTTTATGATCCAGAATTGCGATCTACCAGCTCTGTTGAACATATAACAAAAGGTAATGCACTAAATCACCTAAAACAGTGAAGAATAACCGACAAGGGAAGTAAAATTTTGTTGATTGGAAACTAATTCAAAGGCAGCAATGTATGACACAATGTAATCTATTAAATACAATGAATATAAAACAAAACAAAAAGAAATGGGCTACCTCAGGGCATCAGTGTAAAGTTAGTGATAACATTCTGAGCTGCCTAAATCAAGTCGCTACTCTAAATACAGCTGCTGCGCAAAAATGTTTCGTTTTACACTGTCAGTTTAGGCTATTCTTGTTTTTTGTTCCAGAAAAGCATCAGATTTTTGTTTCAGTTTGATTTGAAGTTGATTAATTGCTCAGCTCTAGAAGGCAATCATTCACAACACACACACCCTGCTAAAAGAATGCAGCCAAATCCAACACACAGCACCTCAGATCTCAGTGCATCTCGGGTGCGTCCACATGTAGAGATGTTAAAACCAGCTGTGGACGAGCCTGAAGATCCACTATTGCCATCAGTAATAGCTCCAAATCTTAAAAAACAGATCTGGTTTTGACCATGATGTAACCAGTTCATTATAGAATCTCTTTATCAGTGACATTGTTCTATTTTTCTATCATTTGCAGTCACTCACTCACAATAAGCCAACGACTCGGCGTTTGCTGCAATCCCTAACATCCTGCTAACTTACATAAGATTGATTCCAGTGAGTTTCTGTTGCCTCACTTGGACGTTTGTGGAGAATGATGTCGTTTCTACATCCATCTGCCGAGAGAGGGGAAACTTAAACACAAATATAAGCATTAATATGGAAACCTAAAAACCTTCTGCACAAACTCTGACACTATCAATAAAGAGGAAGGAGCAGTAAAGAATTTCTAACGAGGTAATTGATCTTATTTTTGCAGAGTTAATGAGGTACAAGTAATAATTCAAAGCATACAGGTCTTAAAGTACTTTGCGTGTGGAGGAGTTTGGGGGAAAGTAGTAGCATCAGATTGGGAAGAGAAGAGGAAAAAAAAGTAGGACTGGTGCAAATAAAGAGGCAAAGCTGATAAGGTTATCGTTACTGACTTTATTAAAGACTCATCAAGATATAAAAATGTTCACGTTGAATACAGGCATTTTCATCTTTCAGTAGAAAATATTGAAATATATTTTTTTGTTTTGTGTCATTCTGTTTTGTTTGAACTGTTTATGGCAAACGAGGCAAAAGGCTTCACTCACTCTGTACAACACCGGTCAGAACAAAGAATAGAGAAAAACTGCACTTTGACATGGTTAGAACCTCAAAGGACTGGCTTATCTAGATTAGAACATACAAAACCAAACAGATTTTCTCACTTAACCCTCTGAATCCTGAGCAGTTTCTGGACCTTTTTTTCTCCTGCCACGACTAGAAGTTGAGAAAACTGACAAATGTATTAGTTTTTTCACAATACCTTGCACATCAAGTCTAGAAAGATGTTTCACCCTGCTGAATGTATCTTCCAGTCACTTGTTCCTCTGTATACTGTGTTTTAGACATGGAGTGATTATTTTATCAATTAGGATGATTTATTTTCCTCCATTTTGTCATCTCCTCTCTGTTCTGTTGAACACAACCTGCAACTGAGCTGAAAAGTCCTTTTAGTCACACGATGGTTGGTCGCAGTCATGGCTGAGGAGTGGATTTTATTTTTTGTTTTTACACAATCTGATTGTTCAAACTGTTCATTTTTGGCAAATTTCTAAAAACACATGTATATTAAGGTGATTTTCATTAAATATCACAAATTTAAGATTTTGTTAACTTACCTATAAAACTGCACGTCACACATTAGATTAGTTCAAAAACTGCTGCAAAGTTGAACATCTCATGATTCTTTCTGTTTTTATAGTGCTGTGACCCTGTTAAATGGTGTCATTTTAGCATTGTTTTTGTTTAAAGATAACCTGTCTTTCAAATCCGCTGGCAAGATTTGGAGTTCAGAGGGTTAACATCTGCATTCAGTATCTATCTAGTCACGCGCGCAGCTTCATTGTATTTTCCAAGGCTGAGATATCACTCTCACATCACAGATCTCATTGTGAGCAGTTTCATTCAAACTACGTATTGACTATATACAACAGAGACATTGTTGGGCGCCCCTGTAGCTCACCTCGCTGAGCGGGCGACCCATAAACAGGGGCTACAGTTTTCCAACACAGCAGTCGTGGGTTTGACTCCCGCTCACGACCCTTTGCTGCAGGTCTCTCCCCATTCTTCTCCCCCCATTCCTGTCTATCTCTACTAAAATAAAGGCAAAAGCCCCAAAAATATACATATTAAAAAATAACTTTTAAAAAACATTGTTAATGGGAAGACTGCTGAATCTTTGAAATGTCAAATTGTGCTGAAAATAAAATTTCAATCAAAGGCACAAATTACCCTAAATCCAAGCAAATAATACCAAAAGAGAGACGCCGTATATATTTATTTACATATTTGCAATTTAGTTGAACCAATCCTTTACCACATTTAAACACGCATAAGTTAAATGTAAAGAAACCTACATATTTACAGGTGGCTTCACAGTGACCGCAGTCTTATGTGGAGTTGATCTGCGAGGACGAGCTGCTGCTGCCGGAGCTCTTGGTCTTCTGTCCTCTGGTGGCGCTGGGCTGCCGCTGCACTCGCTGGCTGGAAGCCTCCCTGCTCTTCTCACTGTGGCTCGCTCCAGCTTTACTGCGCACGGCTGCAACATAGCAAACACAAGCAGTCAAAGGAGAGGACAGAGAGGAGGGCCGTATGATTGTTGCTTCACATGTCTCGGGCAACATGGCACCGGTGGAAATGGTAAAGACAAAGAAAAGTCACAATGAGAAAAAGTAACTTTTCCCTCCTTCATTTGAGTACAGCTAACGATACGGCACATACACGCTGCACAGTTGATGATGATGAAGTGCTTTAAGGAACTATTATTAGAAAATTCACAAGAAACATATATATATACAAGACTGTGCACTATCAAGGTTTTCGAAACTACATTCTCACAATTTCACGGGAATCAGGCTCACATGTAGGTGTTCTACATGTAGAAGAATCTGTACCGTATTAACAGTGCTTGTGTATATGTCTTGTTCATTTTTTTCTGATGCTGCCTAAGTTTCTATTAAAAGCAAAAAAAGAGAATCCAGTTCTTTAAAGTTAAATTCAGTAGGGGAAAAAACACAAGCTGCCACCAGTACTATGGCCATTAAAACTGAAATAGGCATTGTTGTGTAACTTACATTGTTAAGCCTGACTTTGTTACTCAACGTAGTATTTGTGCTACTGCTAGACTACAGTCCATTTCAGATATTAGATAAGTAACATTGCTGCTTCTTCCATCTGTTAAAGTGACATCATTGTGCTGTTCAGATGTGGGTCAATTGTAATGTTTCTCACTGCTTGATTATGTTTCGACGTACCAACCACAGCGACGGAGAGAGCCTCGATTTTTGTCATACGTGGTGAGAACAGACAGAACATTTTGTCAATGTGTAATCTAACAACAGAAAATAAAAAATAAAAAGGGTAGCAGCTGTGACAGCATTAAGGACTCAGCCTGAGGATGACCAAGATCCTGACTGATCCCGTCTCCATGTTGGGTATCATTTATAATTATAAGTAATTAATGATGTTATTGCTGTTGTATATCTTTGTTGCTTTGGAGATGCTCATAAGGATCCTGCTGCTGTCTGATGCTGCAGGTTCTTAATAAACTCAGAGGAAAAATTCCTACAAACAGCTGGAAGCAAGAAAGTAAACTTTAGGTCCCGTGAATGTTTCGTCCAAACCTGGATTACAAGACAAACCTTCATATAAATGTTATTTTTATGGACTTTTTGGTTTGTAATAGATGTGAATTGGGAAGCAAAGTGAATTTTTAAAAAGGGATTTGTGATTTTTGGCGAATTTTGTGGAAAAACAAATTCCCAAATCACTTCACATCACTTGTTCATGTCTATCCATGGATGTAACTGCATCCAGTCCAGACTTGTGCCGTGTTGAAAGTAAACGCTACTAGGTCTGACCGAGTAAGATTGCTGTCGCGACTTTTACAGAAAAGAGAGCCGGGAGCTCATTCAGACAGGAAGCAAAAAACGTTTACATGCCATCAGATTAATGGAAAGGAGAGCGTGTCTGAAAGGGGCTTATGACACTTCTCTACTTGTGCCACTCTTGCAAAATGTTTTAGCATCTGCTGGTAAACTGTAGCTGTGCCTTCAATAACAGATCACACTCTTTAACAGCTCAGCACTCTCAGGGTTTGGCTACCGGCTACAGCCTGACTGGGTCGTGTGTGACCAGCAGCTATCATCAGTTAGTGTTTTGGCTATTTTGAGAAGCTGATATTATTCCATCAGTTTTTCAACTTTAAGACCTTTCTCTACTGGTATACCATGTT